TTACAGAAGAGTTTGATTAATTTATGGCAGCAATTTCTATCACAGCCAGGCTTTATAAAATAACTTGCAAAAATACAGGCTAAGTGGATGGATAAATACCTTCAGACAATGGAACAAAAACATAAAATATCTAGTTTTTTTAATATATTTTTCTCTATGCCTGGAAATTGCTGAAATTAAAATTCACATTCTCTCTGTGCAGTCAGAGTTCAGCCACAGCAGTGCCAATGATTCTGAGGAAACATTTCAGGCGTGGCCTTTCGCTGAAGCCTTTACAAACAATGTGATTAAATTAGACCTGCCCAATTACACTTCCAGAAAGGAGCACACCGAAACTAAATGCTATATACGTCACATAAAAATGTTCTTAGCTTGCATTTAATTCAGTGTGTGAATGTGTGCATAAATGAGTAAATGACTGAAGGTAGTGTGAAGTGCTTTGGGGCCGCCTGCCAATGAAACCATGGCTCTTTGCAAACAGAATACTGTGGAGCTTGTGAAATATTTGCTCCACCTTGTAAAAGCTATGCACAGCAAGTCGGAGCATTATTGCATTTTTTTATTGAACGGCTTGGCCTGAGGGTCTATGCCAACATGAATAGACACATCGTCTCCATGACAGAGAAACCAAAGAACGCAAGCAAAAAACATACCACTTTTGCTTGCATCAGAGCTACGCTTATGCAAGCGTCTTGTGTTTTCAGTGAGGAAAATAGTGTTTCGCACACTGTGTTTAAAGGAAGCAGCTGTGCCCCAATTTAGCGTGAAATAAACATTTAAATTTAATCCAAGGGTAAAAAAAAATTGGTAGAATGAACCTGTTCACATACAATTTACAGATTTGTTGTCTTCTTAACACTTATTTTTATTTAAAAAAAAAACTTTTAAAATTGGACAAAAGAAACTTGAGTAAATACAAAAAATTAAACCCAATTACAGTTGTGCCACAATTGCCAACAAGCGTTTTCGATAACGGTCACTGTTGACCCAGTCTTTTTCAGCATTGTTTCTTGAATTTAGCTGCAAATTATGCTTTTGAATATGAACATCTTGTTTAAGGTTTTGCCAGTGTCTCAATCAGATTTAAGTCCAGACTTTGACTAGGACACTCTAAAACATTCATTATGACTTGCTTATGTACTTTGCATCACTATCATGTGGTATAACCAGATGATGTAGTTGGTAACCCCGCTTCCCAGCATCAACCAGGTTAAAATCTCAAGCATGGGTCTTTTCTGCAAAGAGTTTGCATGTTCAATAGACTGACAGAATCCATGCAATTGGCTGCACTGGGCAATCACTAGGAGTGCCTTGCCCAAGGACACAACAACAGAGTAAGGGTTCAACATGGCGACCCACTGGTTAGGGGAGGAACTGCTACCACTTGAGCTGCTATCACCATAGCAGCTCATAAACTGATGGTTGGGCCTATTGCAATGAGCAATAAATCAATTAATCACATGATACATTAAAAATAGCTCAATAATTTCTTAGTATGGTTTATCATTTTTTCTCCTTTTACTTCAACTAAAGACTGGAAAACAAACGTCTCCTGACTTTGTGCATTGGTTTTGTTAAGAGCCTTCATAATTCCTTTTGTTTGCCGTTTTGTTTATTTTGAATATTTCAAATATTTTCCAGTTAGTGTTAAATTTTCATTAGAATTTAAAGTTTCTTGATTTTTAACCTGGGATTACTCCCACTGAAGTCTTCTAGGCCAAGTCTCTCTCTAATGAATAGATACCGTAATTAACACTGACCTCAACTGAGACAGCTGAAGTCACAGTCTATAAACTAAGCTGTAAGATTGGGTTGTAAAGCATTAATACTGTACTGATATGATACAATCTGCAGCTGCTGCAGGGGGGCTGCTGTGTACACAGAGCAGATGCACTGCAAAATTTTCCATTTTGTCTCGTCTGATAAATGTTGATCACCAAAAGATAATAACATAGATAACAACAACCTGGCTTGTGTTTGAAGTGAACTAAGTGCATTTGAACATCCTACAAGCAGACAGTGAAAGAGTGCAGCTTTGTGCCTTGGATATTGTTTAGTAAATGGAAACCTTGGTCCTGTAATCTCATGCTTTACCACACGCATCCCCTGATCTTAGCGGATACATTTGCAGAATGTGAAAGCACAAAGTTAATCTATAACAACGGGTTTCTGTTTGCACATTTATTGTGGAACAATGATTTGAAAGAGTTTTTTTCTTCTCAATTTTTTTGGGGGATCCAGGCATGATATTCTGTTTTTGAACATTTTTTTTGTCCATTATGTTGCCAGAGAGTCTCTACTTCAACGACCTAATGTTTCTACAGGCAGGAAGTAATCTTGATTGGGTGGGGCATGTGAAACCAAATCCAAATTGTTTTTTAAATGTGGTCAACCAAATTTGATAAACTACTTAACTAGGTTTAGTAATTAATTTAATTACCATGTTAATTAACTAGGTTATGATTTCTTATACAGAAAAAGTTCTATATGGAAAATTTTTCTGTGATTTTCCATAAGGAAAAAAGGGAATTACTTTTTCTGTATGGGCTTTTCCACTTACAAAATGCAAAAAAAAAATTATTTGATAAAATGCATTTTTATTTGCTTCTTTACACGGTAAATACAACACATTAGATCCTCAAACAGTACTGCATTTAAAATAAAGAAAATATTTTGTCAAGCAAATTTTATCATACATATTAGTGTGAAATATTTTAAATGAACAGAAAAACAAAAGTTTTGATAGACAGCTACATAATCTGGATCAAATGGTATGAAAAAAAAGTTGACTGAGAGAGCATCTACCCCATCATTGGCTTATAAGGACGTATGATTGCAGCAACTTCCTGTTATTCATCCATCAGATGGACAGAAATATGGTTAATAAGAATCTTCAATCATTTCTAAAGGCTTTTTTTAAGAGCTGTAACTATAACTGCATCCATGAGTTAATAAAGCAAAGTAGCTTTAACAAAAGGCTAATGACTTTACAGTTTAGTCAGAAAACTCTAAGACGGATAGCTTTAAATATCCTGATCGACAGGTTTTCTAAATGACAAATATTTAAATTGTGCAGTGAAAATGTTGAAGTGTCCAGGGATGGAGGGTGGGAGCAGAGCAGAACCAAGAGGAGAGAGAAAGGTAGAGATCCTTGTCTGTAGTGCAGATCAGTAGCATGCAGGTGAAGCAGGATGGAGTAATAGGTGCCCATTTCCAGCTCGCTATTTATCACACTGCCGGCCTCGATATCGGTGAGTTCTAATATTTTACCTATTTTAATGAAGCTTAGGCAGCACTGCTTTTGCAAAAAATGTAAAACAATGTCTACAATATATATTTTCTATATTATTTAAATCAGATGGTGGCAAAAATTGGACATGAAATTTCTGGGTCTTAATATAAATTTGATCAAATGTATGAAAATTGACACATTTTGCAAACATTTAATTTCAGATTCACTGTAAGACCATTTTACTAATTATTCATAGGCACATTATAAGAATAATCACATTTTAAAAAGATTATTGGTAAGACATAGTAGAAAAATTGTAATCAATTAGAGCCTTTGTAATTAATTATTTGCATTTTTATGAAAGGGCAGCATTTGACAGGATAAGCTAATTACACTGAGATTTTGGGTTGTGGTTCTGTAAAACAGGTTCTAGTGGAAAGTGGAGAGCTGTGGTTTGGTTTTCAGGCAAAATCTCCTGGAGGGAAAATAAACCACAACTATTAAAATGTCCAGCACTGTTTATTTAAATAATCCCGTCATTAATCACTGAATAGTTCTCCCCACCACTGGTAAAGCATACAAGGGGAAGGGTTTGTTACGCAACTCCGAGATTACTCTGCTCCGCATCCACTTGCACTCTAACATCCAAGTCTTCCTCATTTACGCCTTAATACTATGAATTAACACTTCACAGTGGAATTAAATGCTGAATTTTCTTTCAATATGAGTGCTTTTTATAATTAATTATTCAAAAATAATTGCATTAAAGTCCCAAAAAGATTGTTGCACAGCACCTTTAAAACCTTTAGTGCTTTTACAGTCAAGATGTTTTGTTAATCTCAGCAATCACATATCTTACTTTACATAATTATAATGATGATTAATTATTTAAAATAAATTAATACTGCTAAAACACCTTTGAACCTATGAACTTGGAGAAAATTTAAGTTAGATTTGGGCCATGCAGGAACACGTGATATGTGATAATGTTGGGGAATATTGCAATAGGAATATGACTTTTCAACTGTGTTAACCTCTTTCTGCTTTGGGTTTATGAAAAACAAAAACACCACATAAGTAGTTTCTGTAGTTATTGAAAGAAAAATTAAATCCACTATATCCATCTGAATAAACGTTTTATTAAAGTAGTGTTTCTGTCTATTGTTTTGGCAATAAAACAATTCTGTTGTTTTTTAATAATAATCTTACCACCTCTTCACGTTCTAAACTTTATATACTGAATAAAAGTGTCACTAAATAAAATACAGCCTTGGAGCATCTGAATGCAAGGTACCTAAATAAATATAAATACGTCTTCACCAACTGGCCAAGCATTTCTTAACCAAACTGTGTACAGTAAAATCACAATAATGATAAACCTGCACTGTATCGTGCATCCGTAGCGTAAGCTGTCGCTGTGGTTTAAGAGGTTTTGACAGGGAATAGAGAAGCTGATCAACTGTGTAAATACTAAAAATGTCTCATAACACAGAGTAAACATTCATAAAAAGTGCTTACAGTCAAAGCCTACCATAACGCTGAAAAATGCTTAACGACCTGTTTGCTTACGTGCCAACATCCAAAATTAAAACGTCTGACCATCCCAATCAAGCATAAACTTTACGAGTTATTTAATGTGTAAATAGTGAAACACAGAGAAGTGCTGCTTTCTCAATGTAATGAAATCAAATGTTTACAACAAGCGGGCATTAAAACTTCATTGGCTGGATGCGTCTGACCATGTCAGTTATAGGAGTATTTAAAGGAGTACCTTAAGCTAAATTACCTTCATAAAAACCCTGTTTTAATTTGTCCCATCTTGTGACAGGTATATCTCCAGCAGAAGCAACGCAGAACGCTCTGCTCTGGGCATGCGAGCGATTTAGAAAAGGTTTGAGACATGGAGCTGTGGAACATAACAGATGTGGAGGAAAAACCAAGCTCGCTTTTGTCTAACTGTACAGTGGATACAAGCTACCGCTTCACCTTCTATCAGGTGTCCTACAGCGTCATCTTCCTGCTGGGACTGGTCACCAACAGCCTGGCTCTGCGCAGACTCTGCACGTCCTCTTGCACCATGAACAGCACAGCCGTCTACATGGCCAGCCTGTCCTTTGCCGACATGTTCTTTGTGATTTCTCTCCCAATGAGAATCTACTACTACCACCAAAAGGCTCGAGCTTGGTCGAAGACTGAGGACTTGACCAGCTGGACTCCTGGAGCAGCTTTCTGCCAGATCACCTTCATCCTCAAATACATCAGCTTGTACGGCGGGATCTTCTTCCTCGTGTGCATTGCAGTGGACCGATACTTTGCTGTCGTGCATCCTCTGTCGCCGAACCTCCGCAGGCAGCGTGTTGCACAGACGGTGAGCGGGGGTATATGGTGTGTGGTACTGGGACTCAGCGTGAGTCTGCCGCTGTTGCGTTTGGCAGCATCTCACCAAAACCGGCCCTGTCTGCTCGACCCGTCCTCCGTGCGCCACAGAACTTTCATTCTGTTCTCTCTGAGTTTAGTTTTGGGGTCATTTCTGCTGCCCACGCTGATACTCCTCTACAGCTACTGCAGAGTGCTCAGCGTGCTCCGCATGTCAAGGCATCGCTGTCGCAGCCAACGCCGCAATCGTCGGCAGTCTCTTAAAATTATTTACTGGGTTTTGGGCGTCTACCTGCTGTGCTTTCTGCCCTATCATGTCAATCTGCTGGGCTATACACTGACACACATGAAGCTGCTGCCACACTGTGGCCTGGCCAAGCTGACCAAGACTGTGCACCCAGTGGTGCTCTCACTGGCCAGCTTTAACTGCTGCCTCAATCCGCTCATCTATTATTTCTCCAGCACTCTGGTGCACAGGGAGACTTCGGGAGGTGGAGGCAGTAGCGTTCAATGCCAAGGAGGATAACTGCGAGGATTACAGCCTATTTGAAACTTTTTAATGCTAAACATGACTGGTTTTTGGTGAGTAAAGAGAACTCAAAGTGTCAGAGGAAACATAAAAGCTTTAGGAAACTGATTAAAATATTTTGTGTCATCTGTTAATTCAGAATGGTCAGAGGAACCAAACATTGTTTTTTTTATAATGCTAAAGAGCAATTCTATGGTTCCTTCAGGTTGTAAAATAGAGAGCAAGCGCAAGACTTACAGCAGATATTTTAGCAGTAAAGCTCTGTTGCATTGTTTTCAACTCTGTTGCATTGTTTTCAACTCTGTTGCATTGTTTTCAACTCTGTTGCATTGTTTTCAACTCTGTTGCATTGTTTTCAACTCTGTTGGATTGTTTTCTGCCTACATTTCTCATTTGGAAATAGAGGCAGCTTTTACAAAAAAAAAAAACAGGTGGATTTATAAATGCTGAACAACCATTACTAACCAGTGAAAAATACCAGTAAATAATTATTAAAACTAAATAACTTGGCAAAGCGACATAGCAGTGTTTCCCCCAGAAAACTTGCTAAGCGTTTTTGAGTTGCATTTTTTTCAAGTTGACAGAAAATTTTAAAATACAAATAGTTGATTATGTGTTATTGGAAAATATTATTAACAATACCTAAACACCAACTTTAAAGTCTTTTAAAAGGCAAACATAAAAAATGCAATTACATTTTTTTACTCCAGTTTTTCATTCTAATCAAAGTGTCAAATATTTTTATTCTTAATGTGTAACTTATCACTTTGTTTGCTGAAGTTGTGGCGGGTGATGAGACTGACCGTCCTCCATGCAATCCTCTCCATGATGAGGTTTTCGCAGGTCTCCAGATGTTTGATGATGTCTTTGCTCAGCGTCGGTTCAGCCTTGATGAAGCTCTCGATCACTTTGTAGAAGTCAAAGGCGGAGAGGTTGAGGACGTTCAGGATCCAGGGGAAGCACAAGTTTGTTCCAGCTTGGTCACTTCCTCCGTTCTTGAAACTACTCTCTGGTCACAGAAATTAAACACAAGCAATTGTTTATGTCCCGCAATGACAGGTATAACTTAAAATATAACTGAACAATGTAGGAGATTATAGGGAGCACCTTCATATGTTGCCATCACGACCTCCAAAGAGCAGGCCAGGAGTGATGTGTGAAACGTGGAGTCATTGAGGAGTTTACTAGAATGCAATGGCAGGATTTGGTTGAATTAAAAGACGGATAGTGAAATACAAAAACAGAAAGAACAAATCAGGACTTAAAATCATTTGGTTTGGATTTACTCACTGCTGGCCTCAAGGTCACAGAAATCAACAACATGTTCCACATGATCAACTTTCTTATCATAAAGCTGAAACTTCAGATCCACCAGAATAATTTAGAAAATGGGAACAAAGTCTTAATACACTAATTAAAATCCATACTTCTCTAGATTCTTTAGAAACCTTGTTTTCATTAGCAGATGTGATCACTTCTATTAACCAAGAAACTATGAAAATTGGCTAGTCTGGAGAATATAGATGAGTATTGACCCAATGACAGGAAGATAAGAATCTCAATGAGGTCAGAGGAGCAATTATTGCCAGACATCAAGGGTTAGAAGTACATTTTTAAATGAGCTGACCAAAAAATTATTCATGAGAGGAAAGTATTTAAGGCACCAGATAAAAACATTCTGACAAATTCACTCCACTGTCAGACAGTACAAAGCTCAGAAAAAATGAAAAATAGTTGCCAAACCTTAAATGCTTAAAGTTTTATGTTACGAATCAAACAGCGAGAAATTATGGCTCGTTTTCTATGATTGCCAGGAGAAACCCACTTTAGAATCATACATTTGCAAAGTGCAAGTCTATGGGCTTTGAACAGATAAGACCAAACCAGAGATGTTTGATTATAAATATGGTGTTGCTGAGGAGAGATCTGTGCTTGTTTTAAGAAAAATTACTGTGTGTGAACCAAAGATAAGCTCATCAAAAGGGCAAAGGTTCAAAACACAGCAGCAACTCTAATGGATGGATTGGTTGATAAATATGATGGTTGGACTCAATTTTTTTATAATAAAAATTGAGCAATAACCCAGTCAAAGACCAGACCTCAAGATTAATAAAATGCTGTGACGAGACCAAGAACACTCACAATCTTCAAAATGCCGTTTGTATAGATGAGAGATAAAATTCCAGCACACTGAAGACCACAAAGTTTCATATAAATAACTAGTTTGATTCACCACAGTTTCCTCCACAAGCCATCAAATCAACAGCAACTTAGTTTTGCTTTTCCATTTTGACTTTATTGGTTATGTAGAAATTATTTTCTAATCTAATCAAGCCCGGGAGTCTCATTTATAAAGCTGGAGTAGGCATGAAATGGGGCCTGAAACTGGCATGTGTTGCTTTCTACATAAAGGTTGTGAACTATAAAAACAATAAACTTGGTGGGAGAATGTGCGCTTTCCCATGCCAACCCCGACCTGCACGTCACTCATTGTGGAAACTGAGGAAACTGGCAACACGGATGGTGAGGTATTGAAGCCACACTGCATCACGATTCATCACATTTAATTTCATATCAAATTTTAATCAGCTTTATTGTCAGCATTCAACAAAATAATGTAATTGATGCTTCTGCTGGTGAGCCATAGCTATATAAATTCAAACTATGTGAACCTGATGTTCTTATGATGTACATATCGATTTCTGCTTCTGTGAAATTGTATTTTTATCCTTTTCTCTGTGGTTCCCGTTGGTGACCAAGAAATAACATTGATCAGCTGGTTCATAGCCTTCATGAAGTACTTTGCGTTGAGTGTGTAGAGGACAGAACATGAGGCAGTCAGAAAGTGGTAAGCAAACTTTGAAGTGCAGTTATGATTCATAGAGGGTAAATTTCTTTCTGTTTGTGTGAATACTTTTTTTAAATATGAATTTTATTTTATTTTTTTTGGCATAAGTACACTTTTAGCACAGATCCTGCACAATGTTTTATAAATGGGACCTCAAACTATTTTAATGTGTTCCAGATTTGAACAAGGTTCAACAACAAGTTATGCATCTATTACTAAGCATTACTATATTGCACTGCAAAAAGAACAGTATAGATACCTGAAATTTTGCACAGAGAGACGCTTCTCTTCCTAGAACATAAAAAAATAAATGATAACAACAAGTTCAGCCATTTTGATACATTTTAAGACTGAAAATTTCCAAGCACAAAGAAACAAGTTACTATACCGATTTCAGCATAGCCTCCATTACTTTGTAGTATAATCTGATGCCAAGGGCAAATCTCTGAAAGACAAAGAAAACTTTTAGCAAGAGATAAGATCAGTCCAGGAGAGGATGTGGTGCTTTTAAGCTTCATACCTGCCTGCCATACACAACACAGTGAGGCCCCACTGCCTCACCAAACTTCTGGCTAAACGCCTGACCAAGTGTCTCTAAACGTTTCTGCACATCCTGCGTCGGGTCCACAGTGCAATTCTGATCATAGCAACCAAGGACACACAGAAACATCTTAAGTCCATCAAACTAGAAGAACTCAAGTTGAACAACAGGTCAATTATAATGCAGGAGACTCACTTTGAAATATGTGGCCAGTGTAGTAGAAGGTTGATCCCCATTGGAGGGAAGATCTCCTCTGAGCATCCGAATAGAGGTCATGGCAGCTCTGAGGAGAAAACAGAACGTAATGTGGTGACTGGATTAACCCAGAAGGAAAAATGGAATAATAACTGTCATGACAAGGGGTTTTTTTTAATGCAAGATAGTTTTTCCTTATTATGATGAAACTTTATTAACTTCCTAAGGCATAGTTGAGAATAAATAATTCTGTTTTTCCTTCTATCTCCTTTAGCTCGTGGCTAAGCTAAAGGAAATGGCATGTTAGGAAATGCAAATGACCGCTAGGGTTAAAGGATATGAAACACTAGGAAATGCCTTCTTTAGGGCGTAGCTTAGATAGATAGCTAACAAAAGGAACGGAAAACTTTTGTTTGAAGCCATTTTGTCCTGATAACTCCTAAAGGTAGCACGAGGAAAGGGCCAGCTGTATTTTGGTATTAATAAATGGAATTCATGAATTCAACTCGGTGACTCTTTTTCAACCTCAAGAACTTAGCATGGAGAACATATAAATTCTCCCCAGCACCAACCAGGTGAAAGACATCCAACTGCTCACTGTGATGGAGACCAGGGGTCCCATCCCTAATAAATGATAATTGATATATTATGTTGAATTTATTTACAGACCAAATGTGTTTTGCTTCAGTTCTTTATTTCAGTTACATTTAGTTGAACATTCTTTTTGAGACTGTTCAGGAGAATGCGGGGAAAATGTCAGTTTGTTTCTGATTTGGATTGGTTTAATTTGAGTTTGCTAACTGTTTTGAGTACTGACCTTTCAGGTGTGTCTCCTCAGCAGGGTGGAGCAGCAAAGGGAGACAATTGCTCCAGGTGCTGTTAAAAAGCTCCTGGAGCATACCACTTTCAGTTAGGAGGGGTAATACTCTGAGGAGTTATATTAAGTTATATTCTTTAATTGATCATAGTTAGTCCTAATGATTTGTATGCATGTAAATATATGATGGCACCATTTACTGTTTTGGTGTTAGGTTTGAGTAAGTAGTTTTTGTTGTTTGTCCTTTTTTTCACCCCTTTACTTGGTATAAGTGGTTAACTTCCCTCAAGTATAAATGCCAGCTTCTTTGAAAATGTGTGTTGCTGCAACTGTGACCTGCAGCACCATTGAAATCTGCCTCAAGTGCATTTTGTTGCCTTGCCTCCTTCCTGAACGCAGAGCCTCACCTGATCGGAGTCTGAGGAGGGATCATCGGCCCATCTTCCTCCGGCTGGTTCTTCTTTGGAGTTCTCTCCACCTGTGATCTGAACAAAAAATATTACATTGTTTTTCCTTCTCTCTTTTCGCTAAAACCAACAACTTTTTCTTTAAAGGAGAGAATCTCAAGATTTACATCTCGACTTTAGGAGGAAGAACGGTCTCGTCCCCGTCGAAAAACAGACGTCCATCGACGTCTCTGCTCTTGAGGTAGAGCTCTTCATACTGTTGGTTGACGTCATTCACCTGAGGAGAAGATTACACCACAAT